TCTTCCATATCACCAAGACTGTTAAAAATACTTTCAAAAATTTAATATAATATGTAATTATAATTATATTGTACATATGCTGTGGATATTTTATATATTTAAATTGAACATAAGTATTTTTAATACTTTAAAACAGGCAAACAAAAAAAGAGTCTCTCTTTGATACCCAGACTGACTTCAAATTCTTGTGTTCAAAATGTTCTCACACTTACAGGTAGCTGGGGTAACAGAAACATGACATCACATGCATTTTATATGAGATTCTTAATAATTAATAAATCTACAATTGATGATTTAGGAATTCCTATTTCTTCTAAAGGCAGTGTTATGGGTTTGCTGGTAAATTGTGCCTCAAGTTCCCAAACATAACCTTTTGATAGTTCCAAACAAAGTTCAGTAAGATCACTAGTAAACATAGTCTATGAGAATAGTTGAAATGTTGCATAAAACAAAAGTTGTTAGTAAAATCTTAATGTCAGGTATAATGATCTGAGACTCAGATACAAAACAGTGGATATAAAATTGGAACTAAATAAGCAGTCAAATTTCTGAAGAATGGAACAAAAGGGTCAGTTGAAAATAACTATGCAAATTATTTGAGAAACTTAGTCTTCTAAAACTGGGAAACTTCAAGAATCCTCCTTTTGAGCATAAAATATACTATGAGGAAAAGGATTACTCCTAAAGGAATAAATGAGAATCAGCTATAACTGATAACTAAGCAGAATACATAAAGAATGAACCAATGCATGAATTTGATTTTACCAATGGTTGGTAGTGTTACTACAATTTATACTTTTACCTTTTGTTACATTTACTTGTTGATTTGTGTATCTACATGTCTGTTTGTATGTGGAGGAGTTGTGGTCCATGCATGCCACAGTGTACATGTGGAGGCTGGAGGATTTGGTTATCTCCTTCAACCATGTAGGTCCCAGGGGTCAAACTCAGACCATCAGGCTTTACAGAACATATCTTCACTCCTGGAGCCCTCCTGCAGGCCAGATGACTCCACCCCTTGTATTTTCAATTGAGAAACATTTCACTCTCTCAGTGTAACTGCTAGGCTCCCATTCATGGTCCATGGCTCCCAAGGCAGCATTTCCTTTTATTCCCATCACGTGATGTGCTTTCCTTCTGCTGCCTGTGCTCCTAAAGAGGATCCCTTTCCTGCCCTTCCCCTCTCTCCCCTCTCCTCCACGCACCTGCCTTTGCCTCCCCTCCCTCCTTTCTTTTCTTGTTTCTGTCTTTCTTATGAGAAATGAACTCCTGTACCCTACACCAACTTTGCATTTGAACTCACCTTGCAGCCAAAGATGACCTTGAACTTCCGATGCATTCAACTTCTGGGATCATAGGCGTGCACCAAAATGCCCAGTTTGCCCAGTTTACGCAGTTTATGCAGAACTGGAAACTGGGCTCAGAATTCTTTGTGCAAGTTAGATAAGCACTCTACCACCTGAGCAAGAGTCTGTGCTTTTTTTTTTTTTTTATTGGTGGTACTCAGAACAGAACTACAGATACCTCACTAGGAACTCTGGGGTCCCAATAAACTCAAAAACCACAGTAAAACTAAATGCCATGTCAGAAAAGCAAAATGATACAGCCTAAATCCCTTGGTCAGTTAACATTTGCAAAAATGCTTTCAGTAAGTAATTAAACAAACATTATTTCTTTGACCTTCAAGGCTTACATATGAAAGGAAAAGATAGTCCCGAGTATCACTTATCCTAAAGCACACACCACGAACAACTTTAAACATCTCATTGAGTAAATAAAAATAGCAGACGTGAGGTACAGGAAGGAGAGAAATGAAAAGACAATACCTCATTGTAACACATAAGCTATCGATGAAAAATTTGTAAGCCCTGTTTTATAAAAATGGCACAAATACAAATACCTAAGTTCTCAAATCTAATTCTATGAAAACTTATTTAAATATCTCATGTCTTAACAAGATTACTTTGAATTTGTCTAATTTAATGATCAAAATTAGTATATTACTTGTTTTTTTCATTCATAATGCTTCAACCTGGAGGAAATTTGATATTTAAAATCGCATACATTACATGGAGGACTTTTAAAATCTTGTCATAGGTATTGTATTTTTCAGGGGGGTTTAAAGGTTTTCTTTTCTTTTTATTTTAACAAATGGTTTTTTACTTTTAAAATACTAAATGAATATGGATAGAAGAATTAAAACTAATAAGTTGTGTGTCTGGGTCTAGTGAGATACCCTGGTATCTACAGCAGGAACATACTTCAACACACACAGCGAACTCTGTGTACCGTTTGAGTTAGGACCAAACACAAGAGGGTTGCCTTGTGAACAGATGGCCAACAGCAAGTCCAGTCTTGCAGGCTAAAGAAGAATGGAGCGTTTCAGAGTGTTAAAGGGAGTGGGAGGAGAGAGAAGTAGTAAACAGCTCGCCACTCCTTCAGAAGGCATCCTTCACACGCTGCAAGCTAACTTTAGTGTTCTTATTTTTAGTTTAGCTGGGCTAAGAACTTCATGCAGCTCATTGATAATTTGTAAACATTAAAGATGTGTTCCTGTGTCTTATCAAAAGCACACGTGTGCACGTGCGCTCATGCGTGCACGCGCGCACACACACAACACACACACCTTGTAATGTTGGAAGCAAGAAGCATTGTCTAGCGTTTGGGCATCTAGAGGTTTTCAGCTGCCTTTTGATGTCTCCAGAACCATTCTATTCTGTGAATCCCAAAATTTAACATCAAAGACTATAACCTAAGATGCTCATGTGTGCTTACTTAACATCCTCACTGGTTTGTTATTACCCAGAGGGAGGACACATGCCTAGACTAAAGCTCAGATCCTGGGAACTTTCCATCCAGAAAAGAAAGGAAAAGGGAGAGTAAGAAGTTTCCTAACCATGAGATGAGTTTTGAATTGCAAGAAAAATGCATGAGAACCTTACAGGTCCCAGACAGACTTCCCAACAATACTGTCCTGTCCTAGAGTTTTGGAAATATGGGCACATTCTGAATAATTTAAAGTATATATCATTGTCAAATAAATTTTCTATGTCATTTACTGATTCTCAAGAATTTATTCATAAGGCAAAAGTGCTGCCTAAGCATGAAGCTAGATCCGGGCTAATTAGACATGATTTAGGGTCTGTGCTCTGGGAACACAGTCTATCTTGTTCACAATAGCATTATTTAAGGTGATGTAAATTAGTGCAATGCAATGCATTACAACTATATTTCAGTCATGCCCACTCTTCACACTTAATAAGCTCAAGAAAGAACAGCTTCTCTGAGAGCCTTGAGGCAGAAACATAGAATTAAATAAAACCTTCTAGGCATTCTAAGCAGATTAGAATTCAGAAAACCCATCTTATTTTTGTAATCTAGTCTTTCATAAACATAGAATTTATTCTTAGTGTGTGTGATTAGCAGGACTGTTCATAAAGTTTTATCATCAAAGGCAAGAAGCAAGCAGTGTGCTGGCTGTAAGCTCAGCATCGCCCTACAGATGGGAGAAGGTTAGAGCTGAGGAACATCAGATTGGTTGAACCAAAGGACTAAATTCTAGAACACCTAGATTTTATACCTGTCATTGTAAACATTCTATGTCAGAACCCCAGATTAGTATGCTTTTCTTTCCAAACTGTCAGAATTTATTCAGTAACAAGTTCATATGGCTTAGCCATTTTACTGGCAGGAATTTTTCCAGTACTCTTGTTTTCCTTGGTAGGCAGGCTGAGACAAACTCAGGTAGCATCTTCCCCTCAACCCCACCCCACATGTTAGTTACTAATATTAACTCTCAGAAGTTTCTGCCATCGTCAAGTGTTTCTATGTTTGGGTCTGTTGATAAACATACAAGGTGGTCACATGACAAGTCTGTGTGGGCGTTAAAATGACAGTGCAGTATCCACTCTCTTGTGGGATCCAGATAAAGAAGCTGCACTGTTTCCTTGGTCTGCTTTGTCTTAAAAGCTTTGAGACAGGTATTCTTGACATTTAAATATTTCCATGTTGTCTATTGGATCCCAGTCTATCAGCTTTCTACTCCCAGTCAGAAGTTATCTGTGAGGCTTGCCTTGTGGGTGATGCCAAACAGTCAGCTCTGTCCCCATGGCTACCAAGATGCAGAAGAAACTCAATGTGGAACTGTGGAACTGAAAGCAGCTTGCAAATTGTGTTCTCTCAGTGCAAGGCACCATCTGACAAGCCATGGTTACACATAGTATGGAAAATTGAATTCAGGCACCAACTGGGACATCCAACCACTGCTTTAGTTCACACAGTTTTAACACATTGTCAGTCTCATTGCTGTGAGACTACTCTTCAAAGCCGGGGTGGAGGTGGGGGAGAGTAGGGGTGTGTCACACTTCTTAAACATCTCATTCTAATTGGATTTCCCGAACTATACACACATCAAATAAAATTCATCATAGAGACAGAGATAGTTAGATTAGTTTTGTCAAGGATCAGAAGACAGATGCAAGAGGCCACTCTTTGATGAGTCCAGCAGATACAGCGCAGAAAGCAGAAGGTAGCTATACCAAGGAAGAGAAGAAATATTCGAACCTGGGGCCAGTACTCATGGAACAGGAGCTGGGTAGGATGGTGCTAACACAGATGGCAAGGGAAAGTGGTTCAGATGCAGGTCCAAACCCCTTGCATTAGGAAGACTCTCCTACTTCAGGAAGATCTTTGTCAAATCTCAGGGAGTTTTCCCACTTCAAACAAGAACTGAGTACATAATTGCCGGGTCCCTGGAGCCGTGTCATATACTTCTGTAAAAGCTAACTCCTTCAACCAATTCTATTTTGTGTTTATGAAAAGTGAGGTTCAGAATAATGTCTCCAAGACTTAGAAGACACTAAAGATATTGGTGCCCATACTACAGGATATGGTAATGAGACTGACAGTAATAGCTTCCTCTTTAAAAGAAAATAAATGCTTGTTTTATCTTTAAGAATTTAATCTCCATGTGTGCATGGTGGGGGGTTACACACACATACCTGTGGAGGCCAGAGCAATGTGTTAGATCCCATGGAGCAAGGGTTGCTGGCAGCTGTGAGCTGCTGGGTGTGGGTGCTAATACCACACCAAACTCCTCCATAACAGCAGGACACGATCCTCATCAGGAAACCACATCTCCATCCACCTATCTTTCTTCTTTGGTAAAGTTGTTTAACTTTAGAGTTGAAAAACAAAATTTACATCCAAATGCAAACTTGTCATTAACCAAGCTTCAAAGGCAGTGTCCTGTATGGAAGAAAGTAGGTGAGACTTGAGAAAGGTAAGAACATTCCACATTAAAGACGGTATGCAGATTCATGTGCCTGAAATTCGAGACATACAGTTCAGAATATAGGGCATATACACCACGGGTTATGGCTGCAATGGACAGAAGGCAACTCATGGAAGTAGTTATTCAAATACTTAGAGGTGGTTTCCACTGCCAGAGAACTCATCACTGGTCATGTGTCTCAGAGTCAGGAAGGTGTTACAGGCAAAGAACTTTTATCAGGGAATTGGGGGTACCAGGGTGCTAACTTGTAATATAAACACAGCTTTGAGATGTTTAGGATTGATTTATTTTTCATTTGTTTGTTTTTGTTTCTATTTGTTTTTCAAGAAAAAGGTTTCTCTGTATAACAGTCCTAGCTGTCCTGGAACTTGCTTGTATAGACCAGACTGGCCTCGAACTCACAGAGATCCACCAACCTCTACCTCCCAAGTGCTGGGATTAAAGGCATGCACCACCACTGCCCTACTTGGATTAATTTTTGATCAAATAGTTGTTTCACTAAGATTCATAGAATATCTTCTTGAATCCAAGGTTTTGTTCCATCAGTGAACAAAATAGACGAAGATCCCTACCTTCCAAGATTTTAGAAGGAAACCAGGGCATGTTTCAGGTATCAAGCAGGAGCGTAATGTAGAAGAGATGTCAGTAGGGGAACTGAACAATCAGGGCTGATTCATTTCTCTGCCTAACTGTTTCCACAGCTCCACTAGGCTCTTTGACCAGAGGCATGCTCAGTCTCGAAGACTTGATTGAAAATGGAAAGCAGAAGCTGGGTTGCAGGGTGAGGCAACAGGGAAGTGACTCCTGGTGTCACTTAGATTTATTAGCATGAAATTACTATGGAAAAATGTAACCCACATAGATGCATGGCTTATCCTTTCCTATGTAATTGCCTATATGAGATGTTTAGCAATTAAGAGTATATCTATAACCCAAACTTATGTATTTTGTCAGTTTCAGATTACACTTGGGGAGTTCACACGTCAAGCCACAGTCTTTGTAAATTATACCCTGAAGATTAGCTCCCCACAGCCTGCATGGATATTGCTTGAAGCCCTAAACTTAGCAGGAGCTTAATAACTGAACTTAACTTAGTGGTGTAGTTGACATAGAAATATGATATGAAAGTCATTCATTAAAATGAGCTTTTGCTGTTAGTGTAGAGAGGTGATACCAAAACATTAATTAAAATGAGTTTTTAAGTACTGAGCTAAATCAACCCATTTCAGTAAGTTAACGTGTTTTAAAAGTAGATTGAGCTGGGTGGTGGTGGTGCTTGCCTTTAATCCGAGCACTCAGGGAGGCAGAGGCAGGAGGATCTCTGTGAGATCAAGGACAGCCAGAAATACACAAAGAAACCCTGTCTTGAAAACCAAAACAAATAAACAGAAACCCAAACCAAAACAAAATAAGAAAAGTAGATTGAAGTAGATCAATACATTCACATTTACAGATTAATCAAAGAAACACTTATTTTTAATTTTTCACGTGTTCTTAAAATCAAGAACACAAGCTTTGAATCAAACAGTAATGACTCATAAAAAGTATCAGCAAGAGTATCAGAAATTTCTCTAGAGTGCCCAAGTACTAAGAACACACTTAAGTCTCTAGCCACCAATTGTCATGCCTATCACACGAGAAATGCTAGTGGTTGAAGAAAAATATTCTCTGTAAGTCTCAGGCTGTTGTCGGAATAAAGGTTCACCTAGAAACTTTGTGCCAGTTCTGACTCAGTTCACGGATACCTCACGGGTTTCATCTACCCACACCCATTCCTATTTGAGCAAGGGAAAATAATGTTTTGTTCTTGCCTCCAGTAAACATGTCTCAACAGAAGCAAAGCTGACTTAGTCACTTTCCAGCCATTCTATTGTAAGAAGATGTTTATGACAGAGATCTCAAGTCACCACTTCCCCTAAAGATAGCAGCAGAAACAACAATAGAAGTGACGAGAGCACAGAACTCAAGTGAGCATACTTGCACCGTAGACATGAAATACATTGTCAAATATTGGTCGCTTTTCATAAAGGATGCACAATTCATTTGGGGGAGGTATTTCCATTTTCTACTATGTTCTTAAATGTTGTTTCACAATGTCAAAAGAAAAAAGACTTATGCTTCACTATGGACACTTAACAGTCTAGATGATAGGGGGATTTCAACGAGTTATAATTCCCCTAGAAAGTCTCAAAGAGATTCTAAGCAGACCGATATTTGACATATGTCATTTTTCTCAATGCAAAGGGATAAAGCGTAGCAATTGTCATAGTCTGTATTGTTGTGTTTCCACTTCTATGTCACACATTTCTATAGACATAGCTTAAAATAATGAATATTTCTTTCTGTGGATTGGGAACACAAAATGGCCTGAGTTATATGATTCTGTTTCAGGACTTCTGACAACTGTCCTCAACTCTGAAGACATCAGTAAAGAAATGATTAGCTTCCACTCCACTGTTGTTTGGATGTGCTTTGCATGAGTGCCACAAGGTTCAAGTGAAGGTCCTTAGTAGGACCTTAAAGAGATTGAATCTAGAAAAAGGTCATTACCAGGCCTTCACTGACATTCCTCTGGGGCTTCTCTTTTTGTCATGTGATTTGCTCCTTTTGTCCACACTGTGATGTCATCCATATGAGACCTTCTTCAGAGTTCATACCACATTCCTGAGTTTTCACAACAATGAATTAAAAGAACTAGAAAATTGATTATAGTGGTTTGCATGAAAATTTCCCAAATAAATTCAGGTATTTGAATACTTGTCAGAAGCCACTCATTTGTTCCTGGCTGCCTAGACTCAAAATATCCACACAGAAACTATATTATTTGAAATACTATTTGGTCAATAGCTTAAGCATATTTCTGACTAACTCTAATTAACTCATTTCTACTAATCTATGTATCACAACGTGACTATAGCTTACCAGGTAAAGTTCTCTCTAACATCTGTCTCTGCTGGGCTACATGATTTCTCTTTGACTCCGCCTACTCTCTCTCTCCATTTCTGTTCAGTTTTCCTGCCTGGCTTTACTCTGTTAAGTCATTGGCTGAAAGCAGCTTTATTCGTTAACCAATAAAAGCAACACATAGACAGAAGGACTTCCCACACCATTTCCTTTTATCTGTTTAATAAAAAGGAAGGTTTTAACTATAACATAGTAAAATTACTTATAACAAAACAGGTATCAAGCAAGAATTATAGTCACAATATTTATATCTACTTTATCTTTTATCATATAACTAAGGAAAACTACAATTGTAACTTTCTATTGTTCAACTCCTTCAAAGACCCCAGAAAGATACAATGTTATCTAAGTGCATTGTAAGCAACTTCCAAAACTCTAAAATTGACAGAGACATCTCACTGCCTGGACAGTGACCCAAAGTTCTTCTGTAACATTGGGGCAACCATCTTCAGCCTATAAGCCCATAGTATCCAGCAGACTTTTCCATGAAGCAGGAAATTTCAAAGACAGCTCTGTGTATATTAGCAGTCTGTCAGTCACTTTCTTCTGTGTCCTGCAGAATGTCTGACAGACTCTTTCATCAAACAGGAACCCTGAAGGACTGTCTCACCTTTGGCAAGTTCAGCAGTCATTTGTTGCTGAATTAATTCAACATATGTATTTTGAGTGAGTTCCAGGAAAGCCAAAGATACACAGAGAAACCCTGTCTGAAAAAAAAACAAAAATCACAAATAAAAATAAAAGAAATAATCTAAAATAAAGTCACAAAAAGATTGGAAGTACACAGAGAAACTGGATATTGTATGGTATTGTGTTGTCTTTGAATTGTTTGACAGCTGAGGAAGGAGCAATACCTGCTAAAAGACACTTGATTATAAATGCCGATGAATTAATCTAATATATGTATTTTGAAAATGCCTTGACTCCAAAATTTAAGTCAAAAGATATGTTACTTTAGAGAAGAGGTTTGCTTTTGTTTCCACAGGAAATGAGGGGCTGTGGATTCACTCAGGGTTAAGAAAAATCAGATTTGATCAAGGAAGACCTGAAAAAAATCTCCGATAGGAGTTTATGGCCCACATGATCTAGCATTTCAGAGGGCCTCTATTGGAGTTTCCTCTCATTTCTATATCCAGAACAGCCTCAAAATTGTTGGCTGAGATGATCAAGCCTCACAGAATATTCCATTCAGGACTTGACCATAATCCTAAATTTTCTTAAGTCCCCATAAGATTATCATCTCCCGAATCAGCAATAAGTAGTCTGCAAAATTGTGCCCAAATTTCCAAAAAATAATGGATTATGGATGTTTATATTTGCTTAGAGTGTTGGTTACAAGTTGTTATGGATAATGGTGTAGAAAAAAGGTAAACAAGGAAATTAGATTCAGAGTTCTTGTTTTGAAATAAATGGGGAAGGGGAATGCTGTGGGACAATAGTTTTGTACCCTGTAAAGATTTGTCACTTTTATTGGTTTAGTAAAATGCTGATTGGCCAGTAGCCAGGGAGGAAGTATAGGTGGGGCAATGAGAATAGGAGAATTCTGGGAAGAGGAAATGCTCAGTTTGCATTCGTCACTCTGACAAAGAGGAAGCAAGATGGGGATGCCTCACTGATTAAAGGTACCAAGTCATGTGGCTAACACAGACAAGAATTATGGGTTATGTTAAGATGTAAGAGTTAATAAGAAGCCTGAGCTAATAGGCCAACCAGTTTATAGTTAATGTAGACCTCGGTGTGTTTCTTTTGGAACTGAACAGCTGCAGGACCGGGCAGGACAGAAACCTTTGTCAACTAATACTTGGTCCCCAATTGATGATGATATTTGGGGATGTTTGGATGTGTAGCCTTACTGAAGAAAGTATGTCACTGAGGTAAGCTTTGATACTTTAAACCTCACCCTATTTGACAATGGATTCTCTGCTTCATTTTTTCTGTTGATCTTAACTCTCAGCATCCTGATCCAGCTGCCATGCCTCCCTACCATGAT